CTCTGCTCCGTGAGCTGCATTGGGTACCAGTTTGCTTCCGGGGCCAATTCAAGGTGTTGGTCATCACCTTTAAAGCCCTTCATGACACAAGGCCAGGCTATCTGAGGAGCCATCTCGCCCCCATTATGTCAGCCCACCCCACTCGGTCCGGAAGAAGGGGCATGTTGTGGACCCCACCAGTCAAGGAATTCTGGCTGGCAGGGTCTAGGAAGAGGGCCTTTTCTGCCATGCCCTCTGGCCTCTGGAACAGCTTACCACCTGAGATGCGGTCCGGCTCCACTCTCCTGGCCTTCCGTAAAACTGTGAAATCTTGGCTATGCCCAGATGGCGTGGGGACCGGATGGGGGCTCGCACTGTTGGAATTGGCTGGTGGGATAATCAATACTGTGCCACTCCATCATCTTTAATTGTATATAGTCTTTTATACAGAATTATTTTTAGCTAATTTAATATGGATATTTATATTTTTACGGTTTTTTACTGTGTTGGATTTTAATTGTGAGCTGCCCAGAGTCACCCTCTGGAGAAGATGGGCAGCATATTAATTAATTAATTAATTAAATAAATAAATATCCATCAGTGCTTTACAAATTCACAACTTATTGCTTATTAAAACTTAGACAATGAGAAAATGCTAATCAGTCAGCAGTATTCTAAATTATGAATGTTAACACATACATCTGATCTGCATTGCAAATCAGTTTTCCTGACTGTTATTTCTTTTCCTATATTGAAGACATAAATGGTTTTGTACACTAAATTAGAGCTTTTAAAGTAAGAGTTGTGATGTCTCAAATGTCATGCAAATAACATGAGAAAACTCTATTTTTGATGAGGTGGCACTAGTTAATTAAATAGATGCCGTGGAGGGATCAGGTTGCTGCCAGTGATTCCCCAACTCCCTGCCCTCACTCTATTTTTCTTTCCTGGAAAGAATGAAACGTGGCAGTTAGAGCTCTGGTCATCTCAACAGGTGTATTTAACTGCTTGACATTAAAGCCATGCTGATTGTCATTATAAAGAATTCTGTTCCAGCCAGTTACAGTTGATAATATTCTTAGCCAATAAAACAACTTCCTGCACAGCTGAGAGAGAAAAAAACTGTGCCACGTCAGAACTTCCTATACAAACCAAAGGACCAAGAATGACTCAGAAAGACAAACACAGTGGTGCTTATTTAATTACTTAAATCTACTTTCAGTTTCATAATAAACAATTAAGTTAACCTAATAAATGAGCCTCCCTCCCTCCCAACAATGTATATCAACAAGATACAAATTAAAACCTATTTCATAAAGCATCTCAGCTACCAAAAAGCTAATCTATCAATCCTAATTAGTTTAGTTATACCAAAAAAAAAAAAACTTTATAGTAGTTTACATATTAGTTTTTTTTTTTTAAATCCCTGCAATCAGGCTTTCTAAAAAGACATCAAATAAACCATTTTTTAGGTAAGAAGCAAAAAAAGTAATTCAGACTCTAAGGCTTAGTTATATAGTTACTAATGACTAGTTAGACTAGAAAACCATCCAAAGAAGAGCCGAACACTTTCTTAACTAAGCCAACAGAATGTGTCCCTACTTTCCTTTCTTTGCTCATTATATAGCCAAATGGGATGGCTGATGCTAGATAACAACAGATGGAGGGAGGAGCTTAATTTCTCTAATACTGTACAGCTGATGACTTCCTTCTTTTTCTGTCTTACTATAACCTCTTTGTGTCCCATAGTGCTGTATTCTTGATTTCTTCCCTATCTTTCCTATTTGCGGCATAATATGGGACAGAACTGGTTTTGAAAATCCAGCTGGAGCCATAGTTCCCAATTCCAGTTTCCAGAATTCTGGGAGTTGAAGTCCACCCATCTTAAAGCTGCTAAGGTTGAGGAACCCTGGTTTAAGGTTCTCATATTAATGATGAAGAGAATCATAACTAACAGTAAACCTGCACATTTTATGTACCAAGATACTACAAATCAAAGAAGATATAAAATCAAGAAAGATCACTAAATTACATTCAATCAACAGGGAAAGTAAATGCCACAGTAATGATAGCAGATAAGACAGCTATTGAATTGCCAACTTCCTATATTCCTACAGCTGAGATATTATGTTGTTATGATTGTCCCATCTATTCTTTAATGTATGATGAACCTTCTCTGTGACCTATTTTCAATGTCAGACATCAGAGCTTACCCAAAGTCCACCCAGCCTATCATAATTAAAGAGTGAGAACTGGGTTGCAAGATAAAGACAAAAGATGGAGGCCACCACTGCACCACATATGTCAAAAAAGCTATTTCCCCATTCTTGGTGTATAACATGGCAGGGTCACCCTTCCCCCCAACACAATTTGGATTCAGGTGGTTTGTTTGTGGTGAAGATTATCCCAATCCGAAAAGCAACACAAATATCTTTATAATATAGCATTCAGGGGAACCCCTTTCCAAAATTACTATTTCAATCTAGGTATAACATATTTGCATGACATGCAATTAGCCCATTTCTCCCCCAGTTTTTGAATATGTTACAAATTCTTCAACCTTGCAATATAATTAGGAGCTAGTTGCATCCAAGCTGGGGGAATGAGGATTTTTAATCCTTTGGGTCTAACTTTCTAAAAGAGCTAAACTTATTTAGAATCAGAGTAGCTTCGAGATAATTAAGCAGGTTGCATACAAAACCACAGGACACCTTTAGAACAAATCCATCCATCCATCCATCCATCCAAAGACTAGACAGATTCCCAGATGTGAGTCAGGTACTGCATTTGCAATGTTCCCTATGGGACACCTAATTTGCTGCGGAAGACGATTCTCTGTATCTCTTGCGCTGAGATAAATCTCCTCTTCCCTTTCTTATGGGCAAGTTCAAAGGGTTTTCCAGCCCTTGATGTCCCTTGGCTCAATGGGATGCTATCATCTCTGCCTGCCCTACCTCACAGATGCAGGCTCCGTCCAAACGCGGAGATAGACTGTATCCTGTATCCAGACTGTATCCTGTATCCAGACGGCACGTCCCAATAGTTTGCTAATTTCTCTTGCCCCCTAATACCTGCCGAAGGTCGCTCCCCTTACCTGGCCGTCCCCAGCCTCCAGTTCGCTACCGCGCCCTGCTCTAAGCCGGTCCTGCAGACGCTTGTCAAAGAGCCGCGCGACAAGCCGGCTGCTTTCTGGCTCTCCCCGCCCGGGAGCGCTCAGTGAACTGCCACGTGTAACAGTGCTCGCGGGAGCGCGCGCTGAGGCCACAGCTGGCCTCGAAGCGCGCGCCGCCGCCGCCGCCACGCAAGCTCTGCTCGCGTCTAAGCTGCCAGTCGAGCCGCGAGCATGCCCAAAAACGAAAGAAAGAGGAGAGCATGCGTGTTGCCTGTGGTGAAGCTTTTTGCCCTTGGGTTGCGTTCCAATAATCGCATCTTGGAAAAAGAGCGTTTAAAAGGGGAAAAAAAAAAAAGCGCCTAGGTTTTAACAAGGACTGAAATACTGAAAGGATGAGCCGGGAAATTAAGTGCCACTATTTGAAGACAGTGACAATGGTTGTCTTCACAGCGCATGCTTAACCAACCATGGTTTACCCAATTTTCAGGGTTTACATGGTACGTGGAACTACACCTTAATCCCACGGGGTGGACTTGACCAATGTGATCGGATAAAATGTGCTTGAGTGTTTTGTATTTCAATGGGGTGTGTGAACAAATGTATCTATCATCCTTTAGAGAGCATTCTAAAGCAAGTTGCAGATGATTAACAATCGTAGGAGCAAATATTTTTTGCCTTTTTTAATAGGCCAATGTGTAACTTTGGAGATTACTTTGGAGGAGGCAAACTTATTGAATAGGAGTACAGCTAATAAATGGAAATGGGGCAATTGTACTAGGAAAAAAGATGCAAATGCTTAGAGTTAGTGGAAGTGTCTGACTTACTACATGAGCAAGTTATAATACTTGCTCCAATTATATAAAATATATCAGAAACATTCTGAAAACCAAATTAAATGCAATTAAAGCCATAAACACTTCAACTGTTCCAATTATTTGATATACTGTAGGTTTAATTGACTGGATGCAAGCTGAATTGGATGTACTAGATAGGAAAACTAGAAAATTAATGTCAGTCAATCGTGGTTTCTACCCAAGAAGCAGTTCATAGGCTCATCTTTGCTAGAAGCAAAGATGGGAGGGAATTACTTCAAATGAAGCAAACAAGGCATATATAGTCTGAATGATTATAACAGATACAATAAGGATGTAATTTGCACCAGGAGCATCAAACATAATTCACGTCATTTGGACAATGACATGACACACTTGACGTTATCGTAGTTTATTTCAAACACCTATCATAGCCTGGCTTATGAACTAAGCCAACAACAAACAAATCACTTTATGGCTCTGATTATGATGTGTGAATCTGGCCACAGTTCATCTGTGATTTAAATCAGGTGTGATTTCCCTGCAATTGTTAAACATCTATTGTGTGGTGCCCAGAAAACTCCTATATCTCCAACTACTCTTTTATATGGGTTTCATTTGATATGGGACTTGTTTGCCTCCTGACACTTAATCACAATGTGATTTGATAGGTTTTGGCTTAGTGTATTACATAAACCTAACCAATTCTGTCTGACTGAACAAAGCAATTAACCAAACTATAGTTTGCTGAAATATGTAACTCAATCTATTTCTTTCAACCTGTCTTATTGTTTTGTTTTATTTGTTCAATATCTTAAGTTGCTATGCCAAGAAAGGATTTAAAAATGCTGAGACATTCTGATAAACATGGGGGGTGGGGGTGGGGGTGGGGGTGGGAATATTTTAAGTAGTCCTGCCCACTTGATGGAAAAAAGATAGTTGAGATGTGCACTCCCTGTTCAACCAAAATGTTGGCCAAGATAACAAGATACAACAATCTCAATTCTTGCAAGAGTTGTGCTAGTACATTTTACAATGACCCGGAGAATGAACCACTGAGATTTCTGTTTTGGCCAACACAGGAAGTACCGTAATGTCAAGTCTCTAAGTGGTGCTGCATCTGTTGCTCGCAATGTCTCCATAATAGCACTTTTCTTTTGAATATTTCTCTTCCCTGCAACTCTCAGCAACAAGAAAGATCCCAAATGGGCCCTATCCACTATAGCTTAATGAGCAGCTTGATTTTTCATCACTTAGATATTCCACATTACTTATTTTAGACTTTCTTTTTCTTTTAGCTAAACAGAATTGTCAAGGAAATATACCAGTTTAATAGAGATGCCATAAATGAAAACTAAAAGTGTCTGGAGAGTACCACAATGGTTGAAATCTAATCCCCCAACTTATTCCCAATGACAACATAGAACAGGAATACAAAGTATTTCAGTAACTACTGTATTGTAAGGATAAAAGGTATAAGCAAGTAAAGTGGAATTATCCTTTGCCATAAGAGGCATATCTTAAGAGTATTTTATATTATTACTTTTTATATGCTATAATAATCAGATATTTAGATTTTTTTATCAATAGTCAATGTGTTCTGAAATGCAGGTGTTTATGTAACTACCATATCTTCTTTGATGAAACCTCCAGACTGAATTTCAGAACATTAGACTCTCAAAGCTTTGCCATTTTTTAATATCCTTGGCATAAAACTCCGCTTTGTGACTCATAAAAAGTGTAGGAGATATACATAATGAAATATAATATGAAATATTGCATTGCCAGATGTGACCTTGTCATTTTTTGATAGTCCACATAAGGCAGGACCAGATCTTCAAACATGAAATATCATCAAATACTTATAACTACTTTATTGTGAGTGTGCAAACATGTGCCATCTACATTTTCAGAAGGGAAAAATGATCTCTACAAACTGCCATACTGCCCACTCTGACATGGGGGAATGGAGTAATACATTGGAAAATTGCAAGCCTTCTCCAGACTCTTTAAATTGTATGAGAACCAAGTTTATAGCAGACCATCGTGTGACCTGCTTGGAACATTATATTTTCTCCTATAATTGTTTTTTTTCCCCCAATCAAGCTGTGTCCCCATAGACTGAAAAGGTGTGTGATTGTCTTCTTCACAACTGAATGCTTGCATTTTGGATCTCTCATGGTCAGATCATGCCCTGGTGCCTTGAGATTCTCTTATGCTACCCCCTTCCGCAGGGAGGAAGGACCTATTCAACTGGTCCACTCCCAGCAACTGATGGGCCCAAAGGGAGCTGGGTGTTATACCCGAGGATCCACTGCACAGTCCAATGGAGGCCTTGGCCGCTGCCTGGAATAGGAAAGCAGCCAAGGCCTCGGACAAGTTCACACCCGTGCGACTTCTCTTGTTCCATCAAGCCCGACACTCCCCGTGGTTTACGGAGGAGTTGAGGGTCTTGAAAAGGATTAAGAGACATTTAGAGTGCCGCTGGAGGAAAACAAGGACCAAATCTGACCGAACACAGGCTAGAGCCGCTATTAAGGCCTACCTTGTGGCGGTAAGAGCGGCGAAACATCCATATTTCTCCGCTCTTATTGCATCCACAGAATGCTGCCCAGTGGCCCTGTTTAAGATCACCTGATCCCTTTTGGGAAAGGGGGGCCCAGTGGCCTATTTACAGGGCTATACAGAGGAGTTTTCTGGGCATCTGGAGGATAAAATCACTCAGATCCATTCCCAGTTGGATTCCAAGCGTGGGGCCTATGGAGATGCCCAGGGTATGGACTTACCCTGTTATCTGGGAACAGTTTGATTCTGTTGGACCTGAGGAAGTGGACAGGGTCCTCCAGACTGTTAATGCCACCACTTGTCAACTAGACCTATGCCCTTCCTGGCTGGTCAAGGTCGCTCAGGAGGTGACATGTGGGTGGGTCCAGGCGATGGTGAATTCATCCTTGAGGGAGGGGGTGTTCCCAGTCACCTTTAAAGAGGTGCTGGTGCATCCCCTCCTCAAGAGACCATCCCTGGATCCCACTATAGTGGACAGTTTTCATCCAGTGTCCCACCTCCCCTTTTTAGGGAAGGTTGAGAAGATGGTAGCATTGCAGCTCCAGAGGATACTGGCTGAAACAGATTATCTGGGCCCTTTCCAGTCAGGTTTCAGGCCCAGATATAGGACGGAAACAGCATTGGTCACACTCATGGATGATCTCTGGTGG